AGACAGACAGACAGACAGACAGACAGACAGACAGAGACAGAGAGACAGGTAGACAGAGGCATAGAGAGCCAAGCCAGAGCCAGACAGAGTCAGAGACATAGAGAGAGACAGACAGAGACACAGAGAGACACAGAAAAAAACACAGAGATGGGAGGCAAAGACAGACAGAGAGATAGAGAGATAGAGATAGAGATAGAGAGAGAGGGAGGGAGGGAGAGAAAGAGAAAGAGAGAGAGAGAGAGAGAGAGAGAGAGAGAGAGAGAGAGAGGCTCACCCTTTGCCACAAAGCTAAAACTATCTGGGCAAATTATTTTCTCTATATAGGAGCATTATTATCTGGTGATAGCTATAGTAGTACTCACCTTAGAAGGATATTCACTGAATTGGCTGCTTTAACATCTATTGAACATATGCACAAGTGAAGCTCTGTGAATATTGGTCATTATCCCAACCAACCATGACTCTCTTTTTGTGGCGGGGTGGGATGTATGAAGTGCTCTTCATCTGGAACATACAACCATGAGGATTGTAGACTCTCAGTTTCAGTAAGGAATGGAAGAAGTAGAAATTAAAGAAGACAGTTTGTTTGGAAAAATATGGAAAGGAAAGAAGATAGGCAGGTACCCTAGTAGAGTAGGGAGCATCAGAAATGAATACCTATAGGTTTTTGTTTTTAGCTCTTCTTTATTTAGCATGAGTGATTTCTATTTACCTGGAGGTTGCTACCATCTGATTGGCTTTCTAGATGTCTGTGTCCTAACTTTGGCACCTTTGTCTACATTCTTTCTGGCTGTTTGGTTTCTTTCCCCTTTTGATGGCTAAGCCGTGTGTGTGTGTGTGTGTGTGTGTGTGTGTGTGTGTGTGTGTGTGTAGCCTTATAGGAAGGTAACTTAGAATTGATTTACTAAAGGCAACATGTGTGCTTTATGCATTTAATAAGAGTTCTTAGGTGACTACTCCTTATCTCCCTTGCCTTCTATTAGATGTGGGCAAAGGGGATGATTACCTGGCCTTTTATGTTACTGGCTACAACCCTGTTTCGCCTGTTGACTCTACCTGATAAATTTTTATGTTAATTGTGATAGCCAATGCCTTCTGGAGTCTGATTTATCTCTCTTTACCTTTGTCAATCTAATCACTGGAGTCTAACTGCAGAGGCAAGAAAACCTGCCTGTCATAAGATTGTCTATCAATTTATTTAATAAAGTTTATGTATGTATTTATTTATTTATTTATTTTTCATTTTTTTTGGTGGAACTGGGGATTGAACTCAGGCCCTTACACTTGCCATGGAAGCACTTATTCCACTGAGCCATCTCCCCAGGCCCTATTTAATAAAGTTTAATGGGATCCTATTTTATCATTTTTTTCTGCCTGTGACCCCCTGTCCTTACATTCTCCTCTCTAAGACTGTTGAATAATTTAGGTTCTTCAAGCTGAGTGAGGTCATTGTTAGGGGGCAGTAGATGAAAATCTTTAGGAGGGTGGGTTGTCTCATGGGCCTCACTGGCACCTTCAGTTTGGGTTTTATCTGTGCAATCACTTGGTGTTTGGAAGCCTCTAGGTAAGAATAAGCAAATTCTACCAAGGGATTGAGGCATGTATGACCAAAGCATGAGCACTGGAATGGAAAGGTGAATTGGGAAAGGAGCCACATCAGACACTTAAGGGACTTTATACTCTTTTTTTATTTTTATTTTTATTTTTTTATGTGTGTGTGTGTGTGTGTGTGTGTGTGTGTGTGTGTGGCCAGCTCAGCCCACCAGGGGGCGGGGCTGGCTGGTATGTGGTGCTGGGGGATTGAACTGCGGTCCCTGTGCTTTGCTAAGCTTGTTCTAAATAGGTGCTTTAGACCACTGAGCCATCTCACCAGCCCCGGACTTTATACTCTTTTTTTTTTTTTTGACACTCAAACACATCTTTTTATTATATACTAAATTAAAAATACAAATCTTATTAAAATGCTTATCAAACATTGTATACATAAGTACTGTCAAATACTATTGGATTATGACATTATGTAATAATGCTAATATTGAATTTCAGAAGTCAAATGTTTTAAGATTTGGCAACTATAAGGTAGTGATCTATACAGGATGATGTTTGCAGAGCTAGAATACTACGGAGACACATGGAGTCACACAGCCAGCCCTGCACCGTGTTAATAAGCACATGTCTTCCTCACCCTCTTAGGCCTCACTGTAACAGAAATTAAAGTGCAAAAGACCACCAGGAATACTTGGTTTGGTTGTACCTTATGTACCACAGCCACCGCGCTGCCCCACTGAGGGCGCCGATGCTCTGCGCTGTTCTGAGGCGCTGTGAGTTCATCTGAATGTGGCAAGGGGAAGGGAGGCCAGCGCTCTCCAAATTGCACCAAATAGCCTTAAGGGATAATAACACCCAAGATAGAGACACCAAGTGGAGAATAGATCCAAGGAAGTTATCCTTGTCCATTTTGCCCTAGGAATAAAATTAGATTAAGAATCTAGTTTTATCTCTGGAAAATGCTTACTAAAAATCTGTTTGTGAAAATCACACATGTACAGCAAGCACCACAATACTGTCAGTTACTGTTCACCACTTACATACTGGATCATAAATACCAGGGATGAACACCTGCCCTTTAAAGGGCCACAAGAAATACAGGTAGGAACATGTTAACACTTGATATTAATTTTGCTAATTAACAATAAGTATAATTTGTAAAAATAGGTCACCACCATACCATCAAGAAAGAGAAGGAAAATTATTCTACAAAAGTGCTCCTTTTAGTTTTCAAACCAAATATTTCAATTTTGGGAAATCTAGATTGTAACATAAGACCATCAGTTCTAAACAAGCTGATGAAGCTAAATATACATACTCATATGGATTTAAATTTCAATTCTGATTTAACACTAATATACTAATACAAACCATTTATAGGAAACATCTTGTCAGTCTTATTTGCAAACATGATGAGTGACAAAAATGGAAAATAAAAAAACTGCAGATAAACATAGCCATAGTTCACTAAAGAGTAGACAGAGCTGCATGATTATTTAAAAAAAAAAACCAAAGAAAAACTCTTCAAAGGAAATCCTTACCATATATAGCATTGGTAATTGGACCTAAGAGGCAAATAAATGTAATGACGATGATTAAACTTTTTTTATTACTGCTTCTTTTAATAACACATAATATGAGGTCTACTACCTACAAATACACATTCTCTCATGACTCAATGAGAATAGTAAGTTGCTGAATACATTTTTTTCTCTCCCATGGCACACTGAAATTTGTAACACTAACAAGGTAGATTTAGACAACACTTAAATCATAATTACGAATGTTTAATTGAATATTTTCCTTTCTGTAGCTGTGAAATGTAAAGCTTAGATTTGCTTCCATCAGGCCTCTTAAACCAAACTTCATCATGGTTAATTGTTGTAATTACAGCACTTGTAGGACATTCATCTTTTTTATCAATACATATCGTCTGTCCTCGTATATACCATTCACCATCATAATACAGTCTTCCCTCTTCAGATCTAGCACTATGCAGATGCTTTTCTAATTTCACAGGTGGTTCTGTTTTCAGTCTGTGTGGACTGAGCGTGGCCATTGCCTTCCTAATTGTTGTCCAGTCTTCAAGAATATCAAGATCTTGTAGCATATAAACAATATATGGACCTGAAACAACAACTGGCTTTTTTTTTTGTCAGGACTAAAAGGATCCTTCCTCTTTTTTCTCGACTGAAGTTCATCATTCCAGAGCTCTGAGCTAATGTCAATGCTGTGCCTGTCCTCCTCAAGCCTTCTAATCTTCTCCTCTAGCTCACTCTGAACTGTGTCATATAACAAAAGTTTTTCACTCTCACAATGCTGACGAGAAGCTTGAATTTCACATTCATATTTGTTCTTTACAGATTCTAAGCAGAGCTCTCTATAGATTCCTGCTACCTTGGTACGAATTTGCATATTTTCTTGTAAGGTTGCCAGTGGTTCCAAATATTCTGGAGCTTTTCCAGCTATGACTTCTTGTAGTTTTGCATCCACCTGACTTAATCGTTCTTTATAAAGTTGATCTTTGAGATCCGTAAACTGTTTTTCAAGATTGGACATTTCATCTAAACACTCCATCCTTCTTCTTTCACAGTCTTCATCATCCATTTCTTGTATGCCTCTTACTTGATTTTAAGCTGCATGGCCTGTCTATGAAGAGAAGCAAACAGTTCCAAGTTCCACCACATGATGGGGCTGAGACACCAACCACACAGTCCGCAAACTTCCTCCGTCAGTACTGATTGAGCCAGGCCAGAAGCTGGTAGCTTTCTTGACCCTTGGGCTCCTCCTTCGGTTCTTTACACTGAATCCAAGGTGGGTAGCGCCCCCGACTTTATACTCTTAAAGGATTGAAATAGGAAAAAGTTTTTTGGGGCTGGGGAGTTGGCTCAGTAGAATAAGCGCTTGCCTGGCAAGTGTAAGGGCATGAGTTCAATCCCCGGTTCAGCAAAAGGAAAAAAAAAAAGAGAGAAAAAAGTTTTTTGAGACAGAGTCTCACTTTGTAGCCCAGGCTGGCTTCAAACTTGGGGCAGTCCATCTGCTTCAGCCTCCCCAGTGCTGGGAGTATAGGTATTCGCCTTCATGCCCAGCATGGAATGGCAATCTCCCTGGCCTGGCTACTTTTATACCTAGAAATTGTCAGCATGGGTAGTGATTGGATCCTCATTTTCTGCTGAGCCCACATTGTTATTATTTTCATTTTTTTTTGTATTTAGTACAGGGTCTACAGGGTCTCACTACACGGATTGGACTCACAGTGATCCTCCTGTTTTCAGCCTCCCAAGCACTAGGATTACAGGTGCGTGCCACCATGCCCAGTCTTTAACATAGTTTTGTATCAAGTATTTTTTAATCGGTAAAACCATACTGCTTCACCCACAGAAAACCTAAATTTTGATAACCAATGTAAACATGGAATAATAGTATATGTAGCAATGTTTCTTGGGTATGTCTTCCATAAACTGTGGAAACTATTGGGGATCCCATTACTATGTAAAGGCAGAAATAAACTTAGGTTTTTATGCAGCTACTGCATTATTCACTAAGGAGAGTCTTCTTCAGACTTTTTGTAAACCCCATGGGATCCCAATTTAGTTAATAAAATTTTTCAGATGACCTATGAGAACTAGGTCTTAATTATTAAGACCATTGTTTTGATCAATGGAAGACTGCTGAGTTGCACACAGGCAACAGTATGCATTGCACCTGCAAAAGAAGTTTTGACATCAACTTGATTTGCTACTTGGTTGGAAGTATATCTTCAGCTTCATGGCATTTATTTTATCTATAAGCCAACTTAAATTGTACACATAAATACTTTAATCTATATAAATTTTTTTAACGAAAATTAAAAAAAGGAAGATAAAAGGAAATTGTTGAGCTCAAATAAAACAGCTGGAGTTATTGCAAATGGTCCTTAGCACATATTGAATAGAGAGATGGACAAGCACATATAGGACAATTACTTACAAACCAGAGTGCACTCAGACATATTTGGTTATGGACTTTTTATTTATTTTTATTTTATTTTTTTGCAAATTCTCCAGACTGATTTTTTTTTTTTTTTGGCAGAACTGGGGACTGAACTCAGGCCCTTGCACTTGCCAGGGAAGCGCTTATTCCACTGAGCCATCTCCCTGGCCCCCAGACTGCTTTTTAATGAATTCAAATTTCTAAAGTTAAAGCCATTGAGCCAAAAGGTCTTTTCAAAGAGTCTTATTATCTAGGTATATATCAGATACAAGGAAATCAAGTCCAATTTAATCTCAAGACATAGCACACAAACATCACAACCCTCCAGAGCATAATATAAAATACTCCTCCTAAGGAATATAAAAATTTAGTATATATGAAAGTAAAACCCAAATCTATAGTTAATGTTGCAGTGGAATAACATCTTGTTTCTTCTTTCCAGAGGAGACAGCACAAAATGCTTCATTCTTTTTAATCTGTTCTCACCTGTCGTATTCATTCTTTTTAATCTGTTCACTACCAGTTACAGCAGGGCAATAGCGCACTCAGTGAATCACCAGCCCCCGCCTTCCAGAGGCACTCGGCTTTCACACATCCAGTGAATAATGGCTCACCCAGAAACTGTTTAATATCTGTAATCAGTTTTAGTCTGATGTGATTCTTAAAATGCATTCTTCTTTCCCAATAAATGATAAATTACAATAAAAAAGAAAGTAAAATTACATATGAAAAAATATTTTAAGTTAGCCAAACTTGTGGGAAGGCTGGCCAAATAGTTCAGTTGATTAAAGCACTTGCAAGCAGTTGAGGGGCCGGGGGTTCAATCCCCGGGCCTGCCATGCCCGCCCTGCCCCTGGGGCATACTGAGACATGGATCGAGACTGAGTGTGGTAGTGCGCGCCTGTAATCCCAGTGCTTGGGAGGCTGTAAACAGGAGAATCACTATGAGTCCGATCTAGTAGTGAGACCCTGAATACCCTGTAGACCCTTCTCTAAAATACAGAAAAAATTAGATAAACAAAACTTGCTAAAGATTATTTATTGCACAATTTATCAGTTCTCTTAATAAAACAGATACTCTAAATTCAATACACAAACTAATATTCTCAAACTAAAGTTCTAGCATATAATTAGTAAACCCTTTGTTACTGAGTTAGTGGAGTGAACACTGTAACTTATAAGATGCGTTCCTTAAGACTCAACTACATGAGACCGCTTCACAAGTCCTAGAAGGCACATGTATTTCCTGTCATAGTAAGTGCATTTAAGCACTTCATATTTAAAAAAGACAAAGCTGTACAAAGTAAGAAAAAAATGTACATTTCATCTATTAAACAAATTATGATTAGATATTACAGTAGAACCTATCTAACTTTTATATCTCGAGTTATCACCTAGTGAACAGAAAACTATGTCCATTTATTTGATAAAGCTAGTAGAAAACATTTTGTATGTCAAAGTAAATTGGTTAGTATCTTGGAGCTTTTATGATAAAATGGTGTAATGTCAAGTCACTGGGCTCAATGGGCTCACACCTGTGATTTCTTCAAGGGTGAAGGATTCTATGATAAAGTCACTAGCACTAGCTATACCTGGAAAGACTCAAAAACTTGTGAAGCAACATTGATTTTCTTTTCTTTCTTTCTTTCTTTCTTT